GAGAAAATGTGGTACATTTACACAATGGAGTACTACTCAACAGAAAAAAAGAACATTCTTAATATTTTCAGTTGATATTTTTACATCCTTTCTGGTTAGCCACGGTTTAATTGCAAATGGAGCCTCCAGGAATCTATTCTGAAAGAGTAAAGTTAAGGACTCTTTTCAAACAAATACCCCTGCCAAGCTTCCTGCTGGATTCTATTTTCTAAGAAATCCTGCATCCATGTGTGTTTATGTACTGAATGTATTAGAGAGAGTTCTCCATCTCCTGCTAGTTTATAAAGCATTTCTGGTAATTACCCACTTTAGTGGATTAACAGAAGCTATCCTGTAACTTGAATTTCACCCAGACATACATTCTGAAGAAAGAACTTGTTGAGCTCTGTTTCCTGGGAAAATGTACAGGAAGGTAAGGTTTATTCATACCAGAGTGTGCAACAGTTGACCAAACATACAGTTCTAAGTCCAACTTCATCAACCTGTATCATCCAGCATTTCCTAGAAAAACAGAATGCCTGGAGCATATATTACAGAGGGTATTTATTGTATTGGCTCATACAATTCAGGGTGAGGAGTCCAACAATGACAGTCTTGCATGCTGTTGGGGCTGAGAACATAGTAATTGCTCAGCCCGTAAGAACAAGTGCATGGCAGTTCCAGTCTTGAGAGTGGAAAGTCTTCAGTCCTTATCAACAAGCCTAAGAAGTCAGATTCCAATCTCAGCAAAGGCAAACATCAGTAGTGGCAGTCATAGAGGATATGTATTCGCCATCAAGGCAAGCACCAGGCAGGCAGGTAAAAATCAACAGCTTTTCCTTCAGGCTGGGCTGCTGCCAGAAGACATTCCTCATTCTGAAGGAGGGTCTCCCCCTAAAATTAATCCTTTAAAAATACCCTTATTAATTACAGAGATGTGTCTTGTAGTGACTCCAGATCTAATAAAGTTGACAAGAATAATCACGAAAGAAATAATGACTTTGTGGAGATTGATTATGGGAGGACAGATAAGACAAAGGTGGCTGCACAACTGCAAAGTCTTACCCAAGCATGAGTGGCTGTTCACACAACCACATCTCTGGAGTTTCCTATATAAGTCAAAGACAGTCTTCTACCTCACGGTCTTTTCTGCCTAAGCAATTGCTTTCTATTTGGATAATTTGGAGGATGGGTTTTCTGAGTCTTGTAATTTTACTGAGTTTCCTGCTATTATGAGTTTCGTGAGCCTCTTGAGTTTCCCTGTTCCCTCCAAGAATGAATGTTTCTATCTCTAGAACACAGCTATAGAATAGAATCTTCCTGCAAACACTGTACCCAGAGTAATTTTCACTTTGTATGTACGAAACTGGGAGTCATTTCACGATGGTCTATGAGTGATTAGTTGGTACTATTAAAGAAGTAATGATACAGTGGTGCAGGGTCCTAGACCAACCACAGAAGGCTGAGCTGGGTCTCAGAATAAGTGTCCACTAGCCCATTCCCCAGCCTTCCACGATCCCGAAGACAATCAGATGCAGCAAGGAGTCTAGTCAAGCACCAATTCATTTATTGCCACACAGCAAACATCTTTTAAAGCAAAATACCGCAGAGGGAAAACAGCCAGCCAATGGTTTTAAAGGTTAGCCTATCATGTGCCTAAGCGCTCTATGCTTTACCTCATGAACACAATCCATTCATGCAGTGACCTCATCTGGTTCAATCTTGGCAACCAATCACCCTTTTTTTTTTTTGTAAACATCTCAGGACTCACCCTCCTGATTTCTCCTCAGCCCCGTCTTTAACTGCGTCATGTGCCCTTCCCAGTGGGAACAAATAGAGAGGCAGGAAACAGTTGGTATAAACAAAAATAACAGTTCAGCATGGTAGACTAAAAACCAGCCATGCCAGGAACTATATGTGAAGTATCAATAGATTAAGCATGATAGTTAAAGACAGGTGTTTGAGTACTGGACTTCTAAAAAAGAGGGACTCAATGTTACTTCTGTAAAGTATATTTCAATGTATATATTCATGGACATTAAGAGATATATGAAATAGGATATAAAAGCACAAATTGAAGAAA